CATCACCTTTAACTCAGCATGGGGCAGCTCGTTAATGCTGCTAATGCTGCTAATATCACTGTAAAGGTCAGGGAGGGTGGAATTAAATGTCAGGCCTAATCTGAGGCGATGAAAACAAACAGGAAGCTTTGACTGAAAGTGAATTTCTAATGTGATGGATGAATGTAGACAGCAAGAAAGTGTCTGACATATACAATATGGAGCCTCAGTGATCACATTAGCTTGTTAGGGTGAAGAGAGGAAAAAAGAAATGTACCGCTGTAACACAGCTAATTGATTCTGGCAGGTCAGAAGAATAAAACACAAACAATTATAAAGACACAAGAAGAAAAGAAGAAGGAGGATGAGATGAAATTTGACTGTTCTGAGAGGATTCATTAATCTGGGCAGGAAGAAGCATACATAGCACAGCTACATAGCAAATATGGCTGCACATATATACTGCTGCAGAAAGGCTGAAGGTTTTACAGGAGGAAAGCCCAGGATGCACAGACGAAAAAGGCTCATACTGCTATAAAGTTTCAACTGACTGATTCCGTCAGCTCGTGTTTCTTGTAAAGCAGAGGAAGAAATACTAACTAGCATTAAAATGCCAAGCAAAAATATTCAAATGTGTTGACATGACACTTGAAATACTTTAAAGTGGCATGCTTTGATTAAAAACAAGCTTCCAAGTCAATTATGCAAAGCATGACAGCTGTCCTCACTCTAAAAAAGAGAACTTTATTTTGGTATAAGCTTAGAATTACTTTGACTTTAGGAGTTGTTTTTTGGATTTGTTTTTAAAATGACTGGTGAGTGAAAGCACAGTACAGTGGTGAGCACTCACACATTTGGTTGTTTGCTGTATACCACACCACACCTTATGTGGGTATAGGCCCTTCGACAAGCGCCACTGTCTAACCTTTATATTAGTTACTTCTTGTTCTACTTTGGTACTCATTTCTCCCTTATACTTTTTATTCAGTTTTACAGTGTGAGTATAAAGAGTGCAGACAGGAAGACACAGACAGGACATTGAAAAGAAGGTCAGTCAGTAACATAACAGCAAAGGAAAATCAAGCACAACATGAACCATGAATCAAATCATATTGTCAAAATAAAGATCAAAGCTTCATGTTTTCCTTTAACTGAACATTTTATTTATCAAAGCACGCTGAAACATCAATCCATCTTGAAGGAAAAGCCCTCAGGAGAGAGTTTGATAGTATGTTTATTCAGATAATATCACTACAGACTAGTGATGGGGGACATATCTATATCATTAGTTCCTTGCACTTAAAGTAAACTTTCTTTGCAATTTAGTGGATTTTGATTGGACCTTTTTTTTATTCACACAGACATGAAGTCTTAATTTTAATATGACGGTGGACCGTTTATAGCAGCAGGGTTTGACAGCCCTCAGGCAGGTGAGTCTGAGGGCTGGAAACACAGGTAACTGAAGTGACACCATCATATCTGAGACAGCTGTGTCAGAAAGGGTATCAAGAGAAAGAAGTCAATTTCATAGCCGGACGTTTGTCTGACCAAGTGGCAATATATAAAAATGAATTTACAGTTAATTCTAGGAAGCACACATATATTTAATTCCAAGTGTTTATAATTAAATTATTATTTATTATTTATTATTTTTACCAAGACTATAGAACAATGCAGAGGCATTTGTGAGCACCACAGTGTTTCTTGGCAGTGATTAATACAATATGGTCTCTGTTACCCTTAAGTCGACACATCTTTTTGGAATAAAAAAAACTGAATTATGGCAGAAAATCTCAAATGCAGCACAGCACCACTGGCTCCCACCACTTTCTTATGAAAAAGTTAATAATATTTTAAAGACAAACCCTGGCTCTCATTTGGAGCTCGCTTCACTTAATCCATAATGTCTGAGTAAAATTTAAATCAGATTTAGAGCAATTTCCTTCTGAATGCAAATTGCAGAATTCTGCTGTGCCCACAGATAAGACATCTTATACACCACTGGAAAGCCTCCAGACCTTTTCTGAATTCTGGGCTGTATACTGAGGAGTTCTTTTATGCAAAACACACTGGACTGGAGGTCACATATTTGGCTGCCATCTCGCTGTGTGTCTCTGCTTCAATCTACCACTATCTGCATCTGGAACAAACTCATGGTTATTCAGTCTGCACTTGAGATGCTACACTTCATTTGAAACCCATGGACAATCTTTGGAGCAACATCCCTTTTCAAAACTTGCACATAATACCAAAACCTAAGATTTTCTGGACATTTCTAGCTACTAGTTCTTTTCATTACTTTTGATCATTTCGTTTAATTTTACAACCTCACAAATTAAAAACCAAAACAAAAACAACAACAACAACAAAACAGATAAAGTGGCAGTGAGGAATCTAAAATTCAAACATATAGATTTCTTTTATATATTTGCCCATCTGAGCTGACTCTTCATCTCCTCTCAGCATTTGAAAAATGGCTTGACAACACTTTCATTTTCATCTTTTAATAACATGAGCTATCACACATATGTTTTCAGCTTTTGCCGCCACCTCCACGTTTGCAGTTCTTCAACTAAAGGTTCAATTTGAATTCCATTAAGTTCCTCATATCCAGCAATTATGACCACACTAGGCATTAAAGTGGGCCGGAACGACCTGGAATGATGTTCCAAAACCTTCAATTAATGTACAATTAAATCTGATAAGCAGATTAATGCATGATACTGCCAAGCCAGTTAATTTTTCATGTGTTGAAGCCTGGCATTACCTCCAGTTGATGGCATGGTAAGAGGTGCACTAAATTATTTTAAAAGGCAAGGACAGCCCAACAAGTATTGTTATGTAGTTTTAGATTTTTTTTCTATTTGATCTAAACATAATGTGTTGCTTTATATTTAGCAAACATCTCAAAAGCTGAGGTATACTAATTTTGTGTGATTAAAAGTTTGATGAATAGGCAGGTTTAGTAGTGTTCACTGCAGACTAAACTGGTTGGTTTACAGTATTGTGGTAAGGACTGCAGTAATGCGCTATGCTGGACTGGTGCAGAGCAGGCTGTGGTGTTCATGGTCAGTGTTAAGCTACATTAAAGGGTAGCAGACATCAAGTGGGGGTATTTTATCTTAATTTCAGGAGCGTGACCACACCTACATCCATGCCCCATCTGCTCTTCGGTCTATATATGCCCCTTCACTAATACCTGCTTTTCATCCCCCCCCACCCCCATCTTCTTTTCTTTTACATGTAAAAGTACATGGGGATCTGCCTGGCCTGGGAACTGCTGCGAGTCCCCTCCAAGGCCTTCCCCAAACCGCAGCATCAGTCCACAGTCCCTCATCCATTGTACATCTCAACTGAGGATGTGGTCCCAGCTAGTGAATTTATCTTTAAACTGATGATGCAATTAGATTTACTCACAGAATTCAACCTTTAAAAAGTTTTACACACAGGATGCATAAAGTTTTTGTGACTATTTTGTGCATTAAAATTCAGCCGTTTACACTGACCTGTAGTTCGTGCTCTAGTACTGAATATACAATGATATAGAAATAGTTCATTAATACTTCATTACCTCCGATACACAGTTAGAGACTGCTCTGGATTAATCGGCTCTCTGAAATGATCTGTTTGCCTCCTCAGATGTGGTCCCAACTGCCAATACAGCTTCAACTCTGGGCTCAAACCATGAAATACTCCATGCTGCTGTCTTCTCTTTGTGAAACCAGAATCTCAGTTTCTCAGTCTCTTTGTGTTGTTTTTTTTTTCTCCTAACACTTCCAGTGTGTAAAAGTCTTTATACTAAGTTTATGCTGTATAGAAATCCTGATAGGTTCTGTAATGTCTGGTTATATCTTTTTATATCCGACTAGCTAACAAACACACGGCAAGTAATCAGAGCTACTCTCAATCTTAGGATGCCACTTCAACCCCTGAGTAATTTATACAGAAAAACTACAAAATGTTGACTTTTAAGTGACTCAAAAAAACTACAACAAGAAGACTGTTACCACTTCACCTTCTTCCAACTTTAGCTTTATCTTCAGTTCCATTATGTGCTGATTTTATTGAAGTCAGTAAGTCATTTTACCATCTCATTTAAAACTTTCAAACTTGTTTCAACTTCAGGTTCAGCTTCAGTTACATTATTCCACTCATTTAGCTGTTAGCAATCTAAACACGGAGGACAAAACAGTGTTAATCAATTCAAAAAAATTAATAAAAATAATTGTCAAGCAAGCTGATAGAAGTCATTTCACTGCCACTTACAGCTTACATTTTAAACACCGTAGTTTAGTTTCATGTCTGAGCTGCAGTGCACCAAGGTCAGCTGTCACTGCCATACAAATCCATTCAGAAGCTTCAAAGAATTAACTATAGGGCATTTAAACTATTTTATGTCTGTAGTGAGGCAATCACATTTTTTACACTTTTACTGTAATTCAACCAGTTATATAACAGAGTCTAAAAATATAAAGGATGAAGGGACAAAGTTGGCATTGAACTTAAGTACTTTGAAACCTTACTCTGATGCGTGTAAAGACAAACCCCTTTCTCCTTTAATAAAAATACCCTCTGACTGTGCTTAATGTCTACAACTGCCATGAACTGGCTGAGGTTCAATTCCCAGACCTATTCTCTTTGTAGCCCCCAACACGCAAAAGGAAAAGGAGGACAGTGTGCTTTCTTTGCCCCATATGAGTAAAAATTGATGAGCCTAACAGTAATTGTACAAAGGACAAAGAGTTGGCTGACTTCCCTAAAATGAGACACCCAGGAAGTGGAAGCTGTTTTTCCTTTCCTAATTTGGATCGGCAGAGGGATGGTAAGTACACAGTGTGGTTTTTATTTAATGAAAGCTGACAGGAAATCAGACTTCAGGAGAACAAAGTATTTCGTCCCAACTTTACTTCATCTCCACACAGTCAGAGAGCTGCGGTGCACACTGAGCAGATCCTGGCAAGACAATAAAGGAGACGAGCCCACATAACGTCAGAGGAAGGACAGCACGTCAGCAGCCTTACCTAGTTTAGGCAGAGAGTACTGCACTTTGAAGTAGTCCTGATAAAATCCGAGTAGCCTCTTAGTAATGTGGAGGGCGTAGTCCCCTGCTCCGCTCAAAATGGCATCTGGCCTGGCATAGAGACGGATCTGAAGACAAACACAGAGGAAGAAATGGAATTAAGCTGATTTTAATAGAGATGGATCTAAAAACAGATACAGAGAAAGGAAATTGGAATTAGTGTATGCTCAGCTCTACAGAGAACAAAATGAAATTAAGCCACTTTTTTTCAAATCTATACAGAAAAGGAAATTAAATTTGGCAGATACAAACAGGAGAAGGCTGCGTGTATATTAAACTCTTCAGGGGAAATAATACAATCAGAGAGAGTTTAAGTTTGATCTGCAGAGAGGAAAAATTATATTTGAGAGATGTTTTCTTCAAAATTTGCGAAGAAACAAATGGAATCAGGTCCGTGTTAGGTGGGTTACATCTACAGACAGAATAAGTGAATCAGGTCGACTTCATATTCTGCTCTCCAGACAGAACAATGGAGTCTGGTTGATTTTGTTCAAATATAAAACAAGAAAAAAAATTGATTTACAGCTGTGAGCAAGAATATCGACTGTAGATGGAAGCAAAAAAATACAAGAATGCTAAATGTTCTGCTTCAGGTGGATTCCAGTATTTCACACAGTCTAATGATCAGTGTGGGCTCATTATTGGACAGGGGTTGGAGCAGCTGCATCATTTATTTATAAAGGACAGTTCACCCAAAATCAAATTTACATATTTTTCTTTGGACATGTAGCAATATTTATCCATTCAGACTGCTTACTCAAGCCCCCTGCATTTCTTTATATTTTGTGTCCAGAGAGCCAGACATTTTGCAACTTTTAAAGTGCTCCTGAGTAAGAGTTCTGCAGGCTTTTTGGTCTTTTTTTTCGACATTTTTATAGGAAAGCAGGCATTAAAAAGGAATGAACCAGTGTTGTGTCTGCACTTAACAGAAAATTGATTAAAGATTGAATTTTAAGTTGCATATGCAGTTTGTTATTAATAGCCTGTCACATAAACAAAAAACATAAAAAATATCCCCATTTCTTTAGCTGAATTGATGACAAATGCCAAAGATTACACAGTTTGAGTGGAGTAAAATAGCAATTTTATACCAGCAAAGTAATCCTCACTGGGAAGCCTGAATGGGCTATTAGCCAAAAAATTCCTATCCTTCAGTGCAAAATAGGGAAAACTGGACAAGTGGAGAACAAAAGTAACAACCCCCTTTGCTAGGAAAAATTCAGCAAAGACCCGACATGGGGCCCCAGAGTGGCATCTGGACTTGAACCATGGCCACACTGGAACTGAACTTAAGATGAAGGTCAGCAGGTCTTAGCTGGTGGTCAAAACTAATAGAATTATAAATGCAGTGGTCAGGCTGCTGACCTCTGAACCACTGCAGGGTGACATGCTGACAAAGTGTGTGTGAGAGACACTCCAACTCATCACTGTTGCTGGGATTAAAATGATCATCTGCTCTTTCGAAAGTGATTCTATTGTTTGGTGAAGATGGCAATTAGTACTTGAGAAGAGGTTCTTTTTTTGTGCCTCACAGCTCCTGACAAGCTGTGGGTAAAAGCAAAATCACAGCTTTTTCACTGCAGAGCTGTGACAGCAGCTTCACTTCTTTTTTTTTACCCCCTTTCACATTGCACACCTTCACCAAAACACAGTGTAACATATTGACTGACTTCTAATGAAATCCATTTTAATTCATCCAGTATGGACTCGAACACTTGTACGCTCATCTGTACACAAATCCAAAGTGGGCCATGGGGCATTACGAGTTCCAGGTTGAAGTGCCGAGTTTCTCAGTGCTTTGGCTTCACTCATTTAAGTATTACTTGCCCTTATACATCAATCAGCATAACATTATGACCAACTGGCTATTATTGTTGGTCTCCCGTTTGCTGCCAAAACAGCTCTGACCAATTGAGGCATGGACTCCACTAGATTGCTGAAGATGTGCTGTGGTATCTGCACCAATATGTTCGCAACAGATCCTTTAAGACCTATAAGTTGCAAGATGGGGCCTCCAGAAATCAGACGTGTTGGTCCAGCTCATCCCAAATTCTAGACTGGACTGAGACCCGGTGAAGTTGGAGGCTCATGATTGTGCTCCTCGAACCATTGCTGAACCATTTTTGCTTTGTGGCAGGGCGCATTATCCTGCTGAAATCAGGGAGTACTGTTTCTATCAAAGGGTGTACATGGTCTTCAACAGTGCTTAGGTAGGTAAGGTCGGGGCGACCGTGGCTCAGGGAGCTGGGAAGCGCATCTGTAACCGGAAGGTCGCCGGCTCGATCCCCGGGCTCTCTGTCCTGGTTGTTGTGTTCTTGGGCAAGACACTTTTGCCTACTGGTGTTGGCCAGAGGGGCCGATGCTGCGATATGGCAGCCTCGTCTCTGTCAGTCTGCCCCAGGGCAGCTGTGGCTACAACCGTAGCTTGCCTCCACCCGTGTGTGAATGTGAGAGTGAATGAATAGTGGCATTGTAAAGCGCTTTGGGTGCCTTGAAAAGCGCTATATAAATCCAATCCATTATTATTATTACATGTTAAAGTAACATCCACATGGATGGCACAACTTTTCATAGCAGAAGACTGCCCAAAGAATCACATTGCCTCCGCCAGCTTGTCTTCTCTTCTGATACTGTTGTATCAGAACAAGCATTACATTTTTCAACAGTTTGAGCTACAGCAGGTCATCTGTTGGGTCAAACCACACAGGCCAGTCTTCCTTCCCCCACATGCATTAGTGAGCCTTGGCTACTATGACTCTGTTGCAGGTTCACCACTGTTCCTTCCTTGGACTGCTTGGCAGATGCTGACACTTGCAGGCTGGGAACACTCCACAAGAGCTGTAGACTTGCTCAAATCCTTACACTTGCCTACATTTACTGCATTTAACACTTCTTCTAACATAAAATGCTTATTTGCTCTCTAATATATCCCACCCAGGAGAATGATGAAGAGAGGATCTGTGTTAACCTGCCAATGGTCATTGCAATGTTATGTCTGTTTAAATTCAAGTTTAATGTCAAAGTTAATGCCAGCAGTTTGACATGATCCTAAATTTTAAGGTTGACTATAGATAAAAATTCTGGCTTTATCCTGAAGAAAATATATATTTGAATCCAACTGTGAACGTCGTGGTGGTGCCACCAGAAAAGTTGGTGTGCAATCCTCCCATCAGTACAGTATCTTAAATGTTTAGCCTTTTAAAAAGACTAGGCTAAACGTCATAATCAATTCATCTGACAGACCATCCTACAGGCTACAAGCCTCCGTGAAGCCAACCAGAAGAAGGACAGGGGTTTCAAATAATGCTGCATTGTGGGTTTTAGTATTTCAGCCACCATCAAACAGAAGTTCAGGTGCACTGAAGTTCAGTGTGATTATTTACACACATTACCAATCACACTGACCAACACATTAGGAGTCTGTGTCCGACTGTGAAGGAAAAATAAAAACAGATTTTGCTCTTTTTTTAATCTGACTTTGATGCCAACTTAGTGTTTGTAAGTGTGCTGTCAGTCTGCTGCCCTCTTGTGATTCTGAAGCTCAGTCAAAAATGTTTCACTTCAATGACTCCCAATGGACTCTTTAAACTAAAGTGATTCTTTCAAGCTCACAGACAGACAGACAGACATCTGCTCCATCTGAGTCAATTTTCATTAAAAAAAAAAAAAAGCAATTTGGCAGGTCTGCAAAAGAAAATTAGCTTCTGCTGCCGCTTTATTCAGTAGGCATCCGGTGTTTAAGGTCAGCTGGTCTAATCTCCTGGTGCAGCTTTCATACGGAAACAGCAAAGCTCTGTTAGCAGCAGCCACCATCACTTTATTACACAAAACACTGAATTATGAGGCTTAGTCTCATCGGTGGTGAGTCTAAAGTCTGTTTTTGTCTGTGACAGGTGCAGGTGGAGAAATCTCTGTGTGCAAGAGACAAGGCTGAAAATGAGTGGTCCCTTGGGCGACACTGCATTAAAAACAGAGATGATTCTGTCATGGAAATCGATGCATGGGCTCAGGAGCACTTCCAGAAGTCACTGTCTGTCAACACAACTCACCGTCCCATGCACTGACGCAGGTAAAAGCTCCATCATGCAAAGACTCTGTCTGTCTCTTTAAGGTTCCTTTCCCTCCGAATGAACCCTCTGATCTAATTGAATCGTCTAGACCATAGGTGTCAAACTCTGGCCCGCGGGCCAAATTTGGCCCACAGCCTAATTACATTTGGCCCGCGAAGCCATA